AGCTGCACTACGACAAAGGTGGGCTTCTCTTTTAAGAAAGAAAAATAAAGGAGAAAAAAAATAATAAACATGAAAATAAGACGGCCTCCGGCCAGCAGGGGGCGCCATCCCGCTGCAATGAGCTTCTCAGCAGAAGGCAGAATAGAAAGAGATGATTTGGAAATGATGGAAGACACTAAACTTTTCTTTTGCCGGCGTTTCTAAATCAGAACCAACTCTCAAAGTTCTCAAATTAATCTCAGAATTTTCCAGAACCTGGAATAAAGGCTAAAACACAGAGGTTTCTAAAGATTTTTTGATTTGTGTTATGTTAATTTTAGATATCTTAAAAAAAGTGGATCATCCAAACCTGAAGGGGAATCAAAAGGTGTGTAGATTTAAGGATTATCGGGTAGTTTTTATTTAAAACATGTATGTTTTAAATCAGTATTTAGTATCTAGTATACTAGTGCTTTGTAGTACTTTTCATCCCCTGGTAATGTTTTAGTTGTGCTAATTTAGTATTCTAGTGATTTTGTAAGATACTGTGTGAACTGTCTATACTGTATATGTTGTGTGTAATGTCTTAAGCTGCTGGGACCTTGAGTATCTATCTATCTATCTAAAAGCCTTCGTCAGACCTGGAACTACGAGTAAAAAGTCTGAAACGTTTCTATAATTTCTGTCAGATTTGTGTTTCTGGGTTCCCGTTTCAGTGGTGGAGGAGGCGAAGCCCCTCCGGCGTCTGCACGTCGGGGCCCTGCTGGAGACTCAGAGGCTGAGGGGGGGACCCCCAGACCCCCCCGGGGGGGACCCCGAGAACCAGGGTTCCGGAGGGCCTCTCTGAAGCCTGAACCGTCTTTAAATGCAGAAACAGGTCAAATAAAATGTTTGGAATCATCTGTATTTGTGTCGAACGTTTTTATATAATTAGAAGATTCCATTTAACAGGTTGTTTAAAATCAGGTTTTAACTAAAAGGACGATGCGTCCAGCATTCAGGAGTCAAGGAGATTCTCCTTGTGTGTGAGAAGACTTTTTCAGGATGTTCAGGAAAAATAAATAAAATACAGTCTGGGAAAAGAGTCCCGTGCCTGGTGGAGCCGTGGCCTCTACCTCCCTCCTTCACAAACAGGAACTCTTCATCAGGCCAAATATAACCTTTTAAAAATACAGAATCATTAATCAGAGTTTAAATCCACCTCGGAGTTAAAAGTCAGTGTAAAAGCCACACGCCCACACAGAAAAGCTGTATAAAAAGTTTTAAT